AAAACAATTGATGAAAATTAAAACTTTTTCATTTTCATCAAACTTTTTCACAGGAACAAAATTCCTCCACATTTCCCGGGTAACAAGATTAACCAGGGTTGAAACTGGTCACTCCTTGGCAGAAGGATCTCCAAGAAAATGCTGGTTGTGAAGGGAATGGGTACTGGAGATTTTACTAGGTGATGCTTTTCCTTCTGAGTCAATATTGAGACAATGCCCCAGGAAGGTGTCAGAGGACACTCACACCACTGGAGGAGGTGCTGTCTTTTGGATGAGCCTTTAGAATGATGGTCATGACCAGTTGTGTCCCTTAATAATCCCTCTGCACTAATTTAAAAGAGTTGGAGTCTTCACTCTGGTATCCTGGCCAAATTCCAGGTGTGGTAATTACATTCTAATTCCCGTCTGTAGTTTCAGTTTGCTACGGAGTTCTTAATTCCTGGCCTGGCCTGTTGCTGTGTGCTGTTAAAAGAGAGGCCACATTTTTCTCCAGAGGTGGCTGCATTTCAGTGCTGAGTGAAAAGAGCCAGATATGTATGTGCATAGTCTCCCGTTTAACCACTGATCAGTGCATGTTCACACATGTATTGGCATCATGTCACTCATCACTGAAATGTAGCCACCTCTGGGGTGAAATATGGCATCTCTTTAACAGTACACAGCTTTGGATTCAGGAGATCTCAGTTCAATCCCTGCCTCTGCCACAGACTTCCTGTGCAACCTTGGATGAGTCACGTAATCCATGTGGGTCTCAGATTCTCATCTGTAAAAAGAGAATAAAGATACTTCCTTCCCCCGCATCCCCCACTTTGTCTGTCTTGTGTACTTAGGCCCCGGTCCCCCAAAGACCTACGCATGTGCTTAACTTTATGCTCTGTGAGTAGCCCCAGGGAAGTCACGTTTGCAGTATCAGGGCTTTAGATTGTAAACTGTGGAGGGAGGAATTGTCTCGTACTACGTGTCTGAATGCCCAATGCCCAGATGCTTGCCAGCACCTAGCACAATGGGGCCCTGATCTTAGCTTAGGCCTCTAGGCTCTACTGAAATATGTATAAATAACAGGGGTGGACGAGTCAGTAAATTATTTTGTGAAGTGCTCTGGGATCCTTCTGGGATGGAAACGTTACTCACTAGGATTATTCTGGAGGGGAAATTGCTGAAGGAGGCTGTCTCGACTTCATCCGCTACATGTAGGAAAGACAATCCCATTGAGAAAGGGCCGCTTTTTACCGCGGGGTTCAGTCGCTCACTGCTGGGTCTGGTCATGGTCTCCCAGGGTGTCATCTTCAGAGGGAACGGTGGAGTCCATTGTGACCCCATCACGATGGTTCTTTCGTGGGAAGGAGGGAGGTCGGTTCCTGTGGAATCTCATTTTTGGAAGGTTGTTGTTGTTTTCTTAAGCCCAAGCTGAAAGAAAAATCATTTCTAAAGATGACAGGCTTAATTTACAGTGTCATTAACCAGATCCGAAACCCTAGACAGGCCACGTCTCCTGTGTAAAGCACATTTTCCTCACGCTTTGCAGCTGATGTTTCTCTGATTATGCCAGTTCCCTCGTTTTTCTTCATATGGATGCTATTATTGCGTGCAGGGGGGCTTGGGGAAACCAGTTCTCTCTCTCACACACACACACACACAGGCTCGCGACAGATTAATAATCAATCTGATATTGGCAAAGCACCCGCCCTCCAGCCCACTGGAAGTTCCATGCGGTAGTTGTAGCCAATTTAAAATATATTCAACTTTAAAAAGAGGACATTCCCCAAGGACTTGATCCAACCCCTCTTCATCTCACAGCAAAGACTCATTTTCTTCACGGGGCGTTGGCCTGCACCCTGAAATCTCAACAAATAAAAGTCCAGGAGGGTTTCTGAAACAAAGGGCAAGGAAAGGATAGACTGGGGTAGCAGGGAGATAATCAATATGACACTAGAGTTCTGCCTTTCGGCCCCGTATGGTGGGGTCCTGCCCCTTGACTGAGACTTCTGTGCGCTACCACAATGCAAATAATAAATAACAGTAGTTCAGCTACAAATGCCTTTGCAAGAGCAGCGGGTTTAGGATGCTACGTAAAAGTGGGGTGAGAGGCTGTGAGGGGGAGATTACACACTACTACCACAGAAGAGGTCCCATGGGCCTGGTCCAGTTCCAGCTGATGTCAATGGAAAGGCTCCTATTGACTTCAATGGCCACTGGATCATACCACCTTGAAATGATAGTGTCTGGGGGAGATGAGGCTCAAGGAGGAGACCTGGAATGCAGGGCGGTCCTGCGCAGGTAGGAGCCTTTCTTGACCCCTACCAGAAATGTTAATGGTGCGCCCCTCTGGCCTTTCTTCTAACATGTCAGTGCTCACCGCTATGTTCCCCCCAGCAAAGTCAGGCAACGCATCCCACCCTGGTGACATTCCAGTGGGGAAATCCCCAGAGAATGCTTTAATCTTGCAAGGCTTCCATGGCTGCTGACACAGGCAACTTCCTGAGCTCTCCCAGATGGCAGGAGAAGCTTTTCGTTTCTGCTTGTTACTGTAATAAAGCAATTGACCTGGATTCTGTTTCTGAGCCTCCTTGAACTGTGGCTCTTCCATAGACAAAGGCATCTCGGTTGAGTAATGTCGTCTCTCCAAAGACAGTAAGAGAGGCTGCTCCACCCCATGGCTCACCCTACTATGTACAACCCACAGGAATGTGTTAGAACACAGGGTGTTTATTCCAGAGAAAAGCTCATGGGAAAATTAGTAGTTTGGGCCACATCAATATCAATGTGAGCGTGTGTTTGTGTCAGATACATATTCCTAGGAGCTGTTTCTGCACCTTTGTTAACCTGAAGCTCAGGGTATGGTTTGCTGCTCAGTGGTAACTCTCCCATAGTCTCGGATGACATCACCACCTGGCTTTTCCGAGAGAAGAAATGTTGTCCAGGACTTCCAGACTAGCCCGGCTCCTTTAGAGAAGTGTCATCGATGCCTTAGCTTATACCTGAATAGACGCTTCAAGAAATACAAGCGGAGAGCTTTGAATCCAGCGTTAGTGCTGCAGCTGTCTTGTACTGCATTCCAGTTATGAGCCGAAATCCTGCCGGGAAGCGTGACGTGTGATAGTTCAGTACTAAGGCATCATGTTCATGCGCTTAGAATATGCAATGTTTCTTTGCAGACCGGGGTGCATGGACCACGGAGACTGTGCCCATGAAGACAGGCCGCCCAGAGGGGGGGGCAAGTGGGGCAATTTTCCCCAGGCCCTGGGCCACACAGGGGCCCCGGGAGCCCTGGTCCAGCTACGGTCCGAGTCTCGGCGGCAATTCTGCGGCGGGGGGCCCTTCAGTCACTCCGCGTCTTCAGCAGCACTGAAAGACCTGCCGCCGAAATGCCACCAAAGACCCGGAGTGACTGAAGGGCCCCCCGCCGCCGAAATGCCGTCAAAGTCCCGGACCGCCACCGGGCCGGGGCTCGCGGGGCCCGAGGCAAATTGCCCCACTTGCCCCCCCCCCTCTGGGCGGCGCTGTCTTCATGGGCACAGTCTCCGTGGTCCATGCACTCTGGTCTGCAAAGAAATATTGCGTATTCTAAACACATGAACATGATGAATCTGCATAGAGAAGAACGGGGGACGTCGTGTCAGTGAGTGGATTGTATAACTCTCTGCTATCGCACTTGCTGGAGCATGGATGGATACAGGCAGAATACTGATTGGTTATTACGTACATCTAGAGGCTCCAGGTGAGATCAGGGCCCTGTTGTGCTGGGCACTCTACGTACACCTAGCAGGACCCTGTCCCTGCCCTGAGGAGCTAACAAACTAACCAGATAAAGGGTTGGAGGGGAAGGAGAAGCACAGAGGGGTGAAGTCACGTGTCCAAGGTCACAGAGCAGGTTAGTGTGTCCTGTTTACTGGACCCTGCTGAATAACTAATGGAAGAAAATAGTCTGGAAAAAAATGACAGTAGCAAAAGAATCTCGCATTTGCCCCAAAGCACCAGATCTTCCAGTGCTGATAACTTAGGCCCTTAAATAGCTCTGCAACAACAAGACCTTCAATTTTTTGCCAATACCTTTGCTTTTCCTCCCGAATGACCCCAATCACCAGCACTGCCACAGAGTGGTTAGACTCTATGCTATTTTTCTCTCGTTCTGGTAAATAGGAATTAACCCCAACCCCTCCCGCCCTTCCCCCGCACACACACCCCTACCATATTTTTGCCCCAAACTCATGTAAGTCTCCTGTAAGGATTTCCCATCCCCAGCATTCCTAATCCCTAAGGTATTTGTGGGCAGATAGGAACTGTCTCCTCCCTAATCATTCTCCTCCTCCCACCAGCTGATCGACTCAGTGATATCCCAATGCAGCATGTAAGTCATTGTAGTCAATTTCAGGATGACTCAGGGGGCAGATTCAGGCTGATAACTGCTCTTTGCATATGAATGGCATGGTGTCCAGCTATGCTTGGAAATGAAAGGACGGGACGGGGCACAGACATGGCAAAACCAGAATTTATTAATCCAAACCTTCTCAAACCTTTGGGGTTTGGCTACAATGGAGCCTGGGTCCAACACCCCTCCCGCCCCCACACACACACTCCAATTTGGAATTTAGGTTTGCAAAATAAAAACCTGACCCATTAGGGGGCCTTGGGATATTTAAAACCAAAATGTAGCCCAGTTTTGAAATTGCCCAGCTCTGAAAGAGGCAGGTTGATGAAATGGTGTGACATTGGAACGTGATGTTTTTTAAAACTTGCCTGAGTATAGAAAAAACTTTTTCAAGTTAGCATGAAAACTTGCTAAAAAGCTAAAACTTGCATAAAAACTTGCTAAAAAGATGTGATATTTTTCTGGGGGATTTGTCTGACCACAACGCAAGCTTATCTAGTCTTTGTTGAGGGGTGACCTTTAAAGCGGACTCTTTGGCTCAGCATATGAAACCTGTCACCAGAGGGTCACTCGTCTGACTTTGTGCCAGCCAGTAATGAATGCAAATGTTACTCTCTGATTGCTTTTTCAGTGTCTGCGTGCAAGGAGCTGGCTGCGTTCAGTTCCCAGTGGGAAGAGACCCACGTTGCAAAGTTACCCTCACAACTGGCACCAGTTGGCATCCTTGTTCGCTGGCCCAATATCGAATGAGCCATGAAGGCTGAATGATGTTCCCAGCCCCGAAAGCAGCTGTAATGCTGCAATGGAATTACTCCAATGAATACGTATTACTCCCAGGATTAACAGTGGCGGGGTCGGGCCCAATGTCTGGGATTCCCTGTTAGCTACAAGAACTGACTTGCATTTTCTTATATGCAGTGGTTGTAGCCTTTACCACCTTGTGCCTCTTGCATCTTCTTAGTGAGCTAGGAACTATTCCCTGCAGAAGCATCTTGTCTCCTAGCTCCATAGACTACGAGGTCCATAAACACAAGTGGATTGTGTTTGTAAATCGAGTGATTACAGGGCACAGACTGAAACTCCTTCCATTTCCAGTCACCTCCATGTAACTAACATGAAGGAGGTGAGTCGAAGGCAGACATCTGAGGCAGACTGGTCATCTGCAAGTGCCTTTTTTCTCATAGTTGATTTCCAGACTTCAGCTTTTTTTTTAAAAATGCCATAACAAAAAGCTACAGCCCTGTTGGCTGTTGTTGGCTATATGGACCAGTGGAGCTTCACAGCAGCGGAGGAACTGGAACCTATGTGTTTTTTGAGGGGAGCTTTCTATCGCTCCTTTCTTGGTGAAACACCGAACAAAAGTTGCTACGCTGGTGGAAATTTAATTCTGTGCTGCCCCCACAGGGTCAGATCCTCAGCTGGTGTAAATCAGGGTAGTCCCACTGACTTTGCAGCGTTATGATCCCTCGGATGCATGCAATTTGGTGCAGCTCCACTGTCTTCATCCAATGTTTCACGCGCTCTCAGATGCTCCTACTAAGTTTCAGGAAGGCGCGAGGTCTGACCCCAGGAATCTGGTGTCGATGTGCTGGAGAAGAGGCAGAACCTCTCCTTTAACCACCCCACTGAATTCTGGGGGAAGAAGCTGCTGAGAAAACGGTTTTCACCCAGTGGTATCTAAGGTAACACGTAGTTGGAACACAGGTGAAAAGTGTGATAGGTCAGAAACCACTGCATGGCATTGGTTGGTAGACACTGGCTTTTGCATGGCCATGACTGTACTGCAGAGGGTTTGCTTTGCATTGCCTAGTTTATGTGACTCCAGTGCAGGCAGCAATGTCCGGGAGTGAGGATTGGCGGGAAGGGGAAGGAATATTGTTGCTTGGCACGAGAAACGATTGCCATGATTTTAAATTCTTTAGGACGGCCATCCGCCTTATCGAGGTCACTTGCTGCATTTAGGATGGGTCGTCATCCCTGACATGGACTGTAAACACTGCACATAGGTGGTCCATTAATAATAATGGCAACAGTCACTGAAATACTGGAGCCCTCCATTCATTCACCCCTTTTTCCTTCACTGTCCTCACGGTCGCTTCAGTTTGAGGTTTTAGCAATGAGAGTTTAAGCTGATATTAGACGTTGGAGGCAGTGCTGGTCTTGTATGATGTCTTCATGGTGATCTGACTGGTTTAGGGGGCTCTTAACAGAGTCTGTCACCATGAGGACATGGGTTTGGCTGTGGCCCACATCAGTAGGATAAGGAAATGTTGCTGACTCATTGCTCTGTCTGAAATGATTTGCCATTGTCTGTACAGTGCCTAGAAGACATGACCACATCACAAAAGCCATCTCCATCACCAGATGTGGTAGCTGCCAACTTGCCACCCTTGTGAACACTATGAGCAGAGGGGCCCTGGGTTTAATGGGCCATGAATTAACTTCATAGTTAACACCTTAGAGGTGTTCAAGGCATTGGGCCCTCCAATGCTGAGAAGATCTGCAGTTTCAGGAGAGACTCAGACAAGCCTGGATGTGCCTGCAGCAGAAATGCAAGCATCAACCATTAAATACTAGGTAAGATCTTGTTTGTTACAGATCTTGTATTTAATAATCACTACAGCTGGAAGATAAAAGCCACTTCCTTCTTGTTTTCCATCCTCTAATCAGGTAAGGATCAGGAAACACAGCCAGTGACATTTAAAAGTTCTCCATGCTAAGAAAAATGTTGCCCAGAACTTGTCATCTCAGTAAGTTAACTGCAGAGACCCAGCTCTGGGAGACAGCCTTGGACTCTGTGTTTTTTGGTAGGTGATTCAGTAACAGATCAGGGTAATGCTGGACACTGCCTCATTCTGTAGATTACAATCGCCCCTCAGACCTATGCTTGTAGCACCATCAGGTCAACTCAGTGCAGGTAGCAATGTAATGCAAATGCACCCTGTTTTAAATGGCAGATTCTCTTTCTCTAGGAAAGCGAGGTGCTAGTCTTTCTGGGTGCTAATGTGTCACCGTTGCTCTGTTTCCAGCCCCCTTTTTCAAACTACCTGGGTTTCTTATTTTTTTGGTAAGGCTTTTATTCAGATCTGGTGGTGCCTGAAAGCTGTTTTCCTGGGGTGCTACCCAATGACCTGCATATGGTATCGGTGGAAGAGACAGTCTGTATTGCTTTGTTTATAAGAACATATTTCCAGTGATTGATGTTTGAGCTGCGGAAGTATGTTTGCAAGTTAGACTTTAAAACATGAATCAAACCATGTTTGGAATACGTTTGCTTCTCTGTCAAACATTTCTCTTAGCCTGGAGTCTACACAAAGTCTGTGTTTTTCCAGAGGTACCAACGCCTGCTTGGAAATATCAGGATGAAAAG